GGACCATTCAATTATTTATCCAAGTCTTGTGAACATTTTTTTCATTATTTCCCCATTATTTTCACCACCTTGTAAGTGGTGTGAGATTCAGAATTGCCTAGACTATTATTTGTGATGCCTGTGTGAAAACCATCATATGAAACCTTTGTTACGGGCACCACTTGGTAATGGCTTTTGTACTATTTCTGCACGAGCAGGGTTGAGCAGATAGATCATACTTTAAATTTGAGACCTGAAGTTCATTCTGTTGTTCTACCTAACTTGATGTTGGTAATTTGTTTTTTCAAACAACCATAAAAATTTCTTGCATTCAGTATTTTTGAAAGCTTTTAGAGGCTATTGAAGTCTAATAACTCTCAGCTTACACATTTTGTAATAGCTTATATATCAAGGAGTAGACAAATATTATTTTCTCGATAAAATACTTAAGGAGAGTGAGAAGCACAAAAAGACTGATTTCATTGTGCTGAACAGAATTGCAATAGGGCCATTAACTGATGAGATTTGTGCTGGCTGTGAGGAGATAAAGATATGGCATATGCACACAGAAAAATGAAGGGTGGGAGATGAATAGGCTTCCCGCGAGCTGATCTTCACACATGAGATAAAGATCCTGCAGGTCTCGTGCCTGCAGGCTCTGCTGCAGCAAAGGCTGCCTCTCCAAGACAGGAACGTTCACCCCGAGTCAGGGGACGAGACCTTTACAACAGTCAGTTTTGAGATTGACAGTCGGGCGGTTGGGTTCTGTATTTATTGATTTGTTTTGGTGGGGGGGGGTTACCTTTTGTAAATACTTAAAATCTTAAAGAAAAGTTCATTGCCAGCAGAATACATAAAACCTGGATCTCTTTGGATATTTCTATTTTTTTTTGCAATAGCTGTTTGCTTTAAAGGTAACAAATCTCCTAGACAGATTAAAGGAAACCCCAGTGGCAGATAACTCTTCTCTTACAGTGTGATTAAAAACACAGAGGTGTTGGCAGTGGCCGCCTTTCCCAGGTTAACTGGTCTCTTAATATTGATCCAGGAGTTCTGAAAGATCCTGCAGATATGGAGCCACAGATAGCAAGGGACAGAGCACTTCCCATTCATTTAAAAAATCTTTTCATTCTGGGAACATTTATTAAACAAAAGCTTGTTTAATTGCAGTGTTTTCAAGTATCTTGGAGTCAGTGTATTTGCAGTATCAACTGTACCTGACAGCATTGGCTGTCCAGAGTCGACTCTTTTGATCTCTCCTACATACAAACAGCATCTCACACTCGCAGATCTCCGTCAGGCGTTCTCCAAAAACACAGCAATAAACATTAAAGCATTCAAAAAAAATGCATTCCTTCCTCCCTGCTCATTTTTACTCTATTTGCATACTCTCCATCAAAAAAATATGATATTCATGAGTGTTACGTTGTAGGCCTGAAGGAGCTTCACAGCTTAACAGAGAGCTAAACGGAGGCTGGTGGTGAGACCCAGTTAAAGTGTAACATGCAGCAATGTTATTTTAGCATTTAGCAATTTTTAACATTTTAGTATTTGCCAGAGAAACCCTGTGCAAGCCGTGTTTGTGGTGGTGCAGGGCACAGGTGCCTTGAATTTGCCTCTCAGTCTGGCCACTTTAGACCCAGGAGTCCTGACTTCTTACTCGAGCCTTACCAAGGTGTGCTCTCCATGGAGTGGTGAACGTCTTGGGCACCTGGCTGCATGCTTTTCTGGAGACTCTTCTTGCATAGAAACATCTTAACCTTGCATAGGAACATGGGAACATCTTAACTTCATAATATATTAATACCCTTGCACAATAAATTTCCTAAAAATGTCAAATATATTGCACAAGACATAATTCTTATTTATTTTTTGTTTATTTTTGCATGCCAACCTTCCTATCAATTTACCTATATCTTTTAAAATAGTCTTGAAAATGAAATCCTCATTTAATACGGATTCTCTTGATGGTCTGTGCATAAAGGCTAAAGGTCTTCTGCTGGAGGTGGGCTGAGCAATCAGAGTTCTGCAGTTTACTGATCTTTGGGAAACTTTCCCTTATGTTTTCTGCCTGTACAATAAACATAGCTGTAGAACTACAGGCCTGTTAAATTGCTGAAATAGAAGTTGAAAATATAACATCATTCCTTTAGAGCCATTAAATTGTTTCTTGTGAACACTATCAGCTAGAGCTACAGATTCCTCTTAGTCCTGCCTGTGAATAATTATGCTATTGATCATTTTAATAGTATTTATGGGAACTGTTGATGGCAAAAGCCACCTGTTCCTGGCTAGGCTTTAATCTCTAACATAGGATGTTGGGAAAATAATATAGGTCTGCATTTTCAAAACTGGCCAGGGGTTTTGAGGCAACATAGCTAAAAAAGGCATTTGGAATCCCTGCTTCTGATTGATTTCAGCTATTGCATAATACTCCTTATACTTTTTTCTTTATAATCTATTTATCAGTACGTACATTTGGGTCTTGTCTTTTGCATAAAACACATGCAATTCACTGGGTAATTACCTCCAGTAATGGAGCAGACTGTGAGAAGTCTAAGGCAGGCAGTGCTAATTGCACTCATGCACATATATAATAAATGTCCTGTCTCACTTTGTTACAGTCTGGCAAAATATGGCTTAATCAACTATAACTCTTTATGGCATAGGCTAAAATTGAATGCAAAACAGGCTTTCTTGAGTGAAGAAATTAGATGCACAAGATCTTTCTGGCATGCAATGGAGAACTGAAAATCCTGTAGGTATCTGTTTGTCCAGTTGTGTTAATGGAGAGCTGTGCTCATGGTTTGTTGCAGTGTGCTCCATCAGCCACCAGCTTATATTGTTTTTTTTTTTTTTTTTTTTTTTTTTTTTTTTGTAGATCTGGTATCTGACAGGTTTGGAGGGTACCAATGGTTGGGAATAACCATAACCTGTTTCCATCAGCTCAGAATCATTTGAACCAACAAAAAAGCAAACAGTGGATGTAGTTACCTTTTGACAGCAGAGTGTGCAAATTTGTTTGAAGGATGCTTGCAAAAAAAGAAAAAAAAAGGCCTAAATTTTGCTCTGTGAAGTGCATCAACTTGTCAGTTTTGAGAGAGAAGATGGACCACCCTCATGGGACCAGACACCGTTGCAGGTGCCAGCTGGGGCTGGGGCTGAGATGAGATGCTGACAGCACCATTGCTGAGATTTCAGCTTGTGTGAACTTTCTGGTCATCCTCATTTTGGTTGTTCGGAAGAATGACAGTTGACTCAACTGAAAATGTGACTTAGACCATCAGTTTCTTTTGCATAGGTGTTGATCTGAATACTAAAAGGAGCATAACGCCCACAATGAAAATATATCATTCCAGAGTAAAGCATTCTCTTCCCTAGGTATCTGGGGTACACAGAGCTGGTTTCTGTTAAAAAGGGGCCATGGTTGCCTGTTGCTGTTTTATATTTCTTATTTTTTACTTTTTGGTAGGCTATAAATTACTTTGGTTTTCAAAGTAAGTTACACAAGAACTGGGACAGGAACTGTGTTCAGATCAGGTAGCAGCATATTTAAAATGTAAAAGTTTAATATGTCATAAAGGGAAGGACATACCACCAGCACCATAGTTGTGGTTATGCTCCCAGGAAGAGGCTTGAAGGAGAATCATCTGAACTCCCTATTCGCTTGCTTTGCTTCCTATGGAGTACTCTGGGAGTAGAATTCCTTCAAATCAAATTAAAATGGAAAAAAATGCCCTCTAGAAGCATACTCAGTACTCTCCAATGGTTAATGTTCATTCAGTCCGTGGAACCAGACTACAGCTAGTCCAAATTAATAACTTTTTCTGGGTCGCTTGTAATCACAGGGGCTGTTGATACAGCCTGTAATTGAAACTAAATAATGTAATGGGAAAATAAACATCCATAATGCAATGTTTTAAGATTCTAATAAATATTGGTAGGTGGGATGGTAAATTAAATTTATATGTATACTAAGGTTTAATGCATGTGTTGAAGGGCTTATGTTTGGGCTTGACGGTGTTGAAGGTTTTATCCAACCATAATGATTCTGTGATTCTATGATTCTATGTTAGGAGAAAGTACTTTCAGAAGGATATTGATTGATTTTGAACTTACTTAAAACTCCTTAAGGGAAATTCATTTTAGGAAGTAGCTTTGTAATGTATAATTGTTGTGATTACGTAAGGAAATAAAGTAATATAAAAATCTCTTTCAGAGAATATATGGTGCATCTCTACTCAGATATGTATAAACGCAAATAGCTGCAAAAGAACATAGATAATATATGGAAATTATACTGAGAAAGCATATATATGAAGAAATTGGAAATACTTTACTATGCAACAGATCAGTAGGATTAAATAAGAGTAGTTAATTCCAAGATGACTGCAAAATGGACATCCTCTTTCATTAAAATCATTCTTAGTAGATAATACTTAATTAAAAACTGCATATTTACATACCCGTGTTTGTATGCTTGTGCTACTCTGTATATTCAATTCCTTTATTATACAGTCATTTTACAGAAATATGCCATAGTGAAAAGATGAAAATAAACAACTTGTTTGTGTGTATAAAAAAGGAGGCAATTTACACATGTAAAATGTGTAAATCAAAATTAATTCAGTCTTCAGGCAAAGCTGAAGGAACCGATACTATCGTAGTTTGCTTCAGTAAGCAGCACGCATTAAGCTTACTTGCATGGACTTTATTATTAAAAATAGCGACCTTAATGTATTAGGTGCTTGCCGGATTGCACATAGGTGTCTTTAAAAGCCTTTTCAGTGATCTCTTAAAAAGTTTAGTGCTTTATAAAAACCGAGAAGGGAAAACCAGATAAGCAGTGAGAACATCCTGTAATAGGGTCCATAAAAAGGCTATGGCTTCTCCATATTAACAGTAGCATGTGCAACAGTTACCAGCCTAAAAATCAGAAGAAAGATTATTTTATTCTGTGTCGTTTGGACGTGCCTTTTTAAGCCAGGTATTAAGGAAATTAAAACTTATGTCCTTTTCTTCTTTGGTCTACAGCGTCTCGCTAAAGAAGCCGAAAAGTATCAAGCATCACATCAGTGGAGGGATGAGTTTGGGGTAAGTTTCATTCTTTCTCCTTTGATCTTCTCAGAATTTCCCTCTTCGAAATGGTAACTGTGTTCTTAAAAATATGCTGTTTATAAATCCATCACAAAAGGAATCATTGCCTGTGCATGTGTGTTTTATTTTACTGAGCAAACAAAGATTCAGGCTGTGTTTCTGGTGAATAAAGAGCGTTTTGCCCTTCGTAGGATCCTCAAGAGCTTCACAGGCTCCACCATGTAGCTCCGAGCTGCACCCAGGACGTGTGTTTGTTTTGTGATGTAAGGAGTAATTGCAGAGAAGACATCTGAGTGATAGCAACTCTCAGTAAAATGTGTGTGCTCCGCCAAGCCCTGAAACATGCAGAATTGGTTTTTAACAAGTTTTTAGTTTATGTAGTGGTGCGGGGGGCAGTGGGAGAGAGGGAAGAGGAAGGTTTCTTTATACCTACATGATGCTATATAGTAAAAGTCATAGCCTTTTTTTGAAAGACAAGTGAGATTGTTGCAAAATATGCAACATTAATTCTTTTATTTTGCTCAAGTCAGATTAATACTGTGCTTCATGACTATAAGCCTGTCAATTTTAGGCTACAGTTCCCTACTAAGTGTCAAAGAAGTCATTTATTATGCCTTAATTACCTGTTTTTTCAGAAATAAAAGCAGATGGTACTTTTATGTGTTGCTGTAACACACATAGACTCTGCCTGCACATGTACTGGAATAATACAGGCTCACAATTAAATGCACAGTGTTATTTTTTGTTTTCATGATGTCCCATGTTCCTCAGACACTTTAATATGGAGCTCTGCAGAAACACTCCTGAGGTCAGGCCGCCTTCAGAGGGAAGTGGCAGCTCGTAGGAGTGCAGAAACAGTTCGGGCACTGCCAGGATGTTTTTCAAGTGTGGTCTATGCACAGGCACAGCTTCTAATCCATGCTAAAATGCAGAATCCCTGTTCCGTAGGGATGCAGGAATGTTTCAGCAGCCTTTTCTGCTAGAAAAAAAAAAAAAGCCTGCAGTTTTGATGGACTCTGTGCAGAACAGCATGAATATTATCAGATGCTCTTTCTACTGATTTGTTTTCTGTTACTGTAGACACTGGCATCACGTAACAAGACTGTCCCAGGTTTTGATTTTTCTTTTGCCCTTTCCTCACTCAGACCAGAGACACTTTTGTTCTCATCGGAATTCATTGCCAAGGAGAGATCTCAAAGTAATTTTGATATGTGATTTTATATTAATGTGTGTGGCTCTGGCAATGACTGTGGTTAGAATGAAAAAACGGTGCAGTTTTAGATTTATAATAAAGTAACTGCAAACCAAGCTTGTGCCTGGCCATTTTGAATTTGGATGAGAACACTATGCAGCATGTAATAACCTTGACATTAGGTTATGCAATTAAATTTCGAATAAATGTATTAAGCTTCTTATAATTTAATTTGTTCCATTTTTGCCAGAAGTAATCTTTCTTCCATTCTGGCCTACTTTTTAGAAAATGCCTGTTCAAATTAGTTTGCACACAGATCTTTCCGATAAACTTAATTTTCACTGGAAGATTCATTCTCCTAATGGCTGGGAAGGAAAATAGAAGATGTACTGGAAAGCTTTCCATGGTTGGTGGTTCTTAATATACTCCTGGTAGCATTATAAATGGTTCATGTTGTGTGAGGCTTATTTCTTTTCCAGGCGTGGTTTTGGGGTGATGAAAGCCCTTTAAGCCCTTTCTTTTATGAGTCAGAAGAGAAAGACATTTTGAAGGGCAGGCTGTTTCATCTTCTAATTAGTTCACAAGCAGCAATCAATGTCCTTGACGGTCAGATTGCAGCTCGGTGATGGCCTATGGAGCTTTAGGGAGAAAATATCACAAACAAGCAAAGACCAAAAGGTTCTTTCTAGGGAATTCTATACTGGCCCGCTTCAGTGCAGGGAATGGGGGAGAGGGAGGACAAAGAGTGTGAGCACTGAGTCCTACAAGGGCTCATTTAATCAGAAAACTGTGAGACCGGCACTACTAACAGCTTCTTCTGAGTGTGAATGTTTATACATGAGTGTACAGATTGCAAACTGAAAAAAAAGGGAAGATTTTACTCTGCAGGTTAGAGTCAGAGTGTAGCAAAAATTCCATATCCTCAGATGATAAGGTGTTTTTAACTTACCTAGTGGGTGAGAAAAGCTACAAAGATCCAGATTTGATGCTGCAGTCTCACTTTTGTTAATTCAGGTTATGATTTCATGCTGCCAGAATTTGCAAGAGTTTTTGAAAGAATTTGAAAGAAATGTTAAGGATACTTTTTTTTTGCATTGCAAAATGAGATAATCTATATGATTTTTTTAGGAAAAAAATAGCGGAAACTATGCTGATTGAGCTTCGTGTCTATATATATATATAAAAATCCTTCTAATTGCAAGAATTGCCTCCTATTTCAAAAAGACTAACCAAACAAAAACATAAATACAAAAGTATAAATAGTTATAGTTAGTTATGTTAATCCTATTTTTACTCTATGGTTATCATCTTGTACATCTTTCTAAATACGCATGCTAAATTTGGGGGCTACATATCTGTGTGTGTGTGTGTCATATATTATATATAGTCATATATATATGTCATATATATTTAATTATATACACACACTTTAAACTGAATCCTATTGAATATATGTTGAGTGTCTTGAAAATCGAAATCTAAAAAGACTTAAGACTTAATACTTAAGAGTATGTTTTAGATTTTTACCTTATTTTGGGGATAGCTAATTAAAATAAAAAGATTGTAATGACTTTTACCATTTTGCATCAGCAAATACAAAATAATTTTGTTAAGGCAACTAAGGCAATAATTATTACAAAAAGTGTAAAACAATCCAGAGAAATATTAAGGATACGGAATATTTTCTGCATTAAAATTGACATGTTTTATGAACATCTGTTTTTAAAACATGTTTCCTGATTAAAGGTAATTCCAATTAAAATATTTGATTCATGGTTTACATCTAAGGCCCTAAAATAATATCTATCTATTACAAATTATTAATTCTCTAGAGAATATTTGTGAAGTTTATGAAGGTAAATTCAAACTACTTAACTGCGGGCAAATAAAGAAATGTTATTCTCTGCTCCCTGCTCCATCAGCATTGTGCAATTCCCTAGATACATATATGGAGCTGAAGAAATGAAAACTACTTAAGTACTTTTAGATTAATGCAGTTATAAATCAGATGCACAAAATGATATTTCTAAATGGAACAGCCTTGTCAGTTTGAATTTCCTCCTATTCTGAAGAGCTAAAGGATGGTATTTTTGACACTTGCAATGGTCCAGTTATTTTGCTGGAGTACAGATGGATTAAAAAAAAAAGGGGGGGGGGGCTGGAATTGGAAGGAGGAGGGGAGAATCCTGCATGAAATAATTGCTGTTATTCCCCAAGTGGATCTTCCACAATTACATTTGATACCACATTTGATTGCATGGAAATGGTTGGTTAACTAAACCAATTTTGTTTCCAATTGGGTTGCAATATTAATTGTACTTACACATGTATAAATATAAGGAATCTCATTTGTATTTTAACAAGGAGAATCTTTATGCATGGCCTATTAGCATCCACTTATTTATATGAAGACTGAAATTCAGACTTTTAGGAATTAATTATCACATTAAAAAGCCACAGGCAGAAGTCTTTCAATATGTATTATCTTCTGAGCAGTGGTGTTGTTTTATACTCTTCTGGGTAATAGTTGATTCCCTACATGCTACAGTTTCTGAGAGGGAATTAACTGCTGTCTGGGCTTAAAAGTGAGACAAGAGGTCATGGAAATACTACTTTTGATTTTTTTATTATTATTATTACACGTATTTGGTGCATAAAAATGTAGTGAGGAGTTGCTCAGGAAAGAAGCGAAGAAGAACACCTGAGATGAAAGCAGTTCTCCTTCACAAGGGACGATCTGCAGAGGTGACACAGGGGTGTCTGCAAGAGCAGAGCAGGAGCAGATATCTCTCACTGCTTGACCTCTTCTGCAGGTTGAAGGCTTGAGTCCCCAGGACTGTCTGAAATTTAGCATGAATGTTACAGCAGCAGTAAAATATTAAAAAACACCTGCCAAGTTTAATAATACTTCATTCTAATGGGGCAGTATACATAGCATATTTTATGTCTTTTGAAAGAGAATGTCTATCCCTTAGACATTCGGGAAAATTCAGGGATGTTGGAGATGCTCAGGTAACCAACTAGGTTCTTATTTTCCCCTCAAGCCATCATAGAAAGGATACAGCTCTCCTGAGTTAGTTGTACCCCTAATAGTCCTCTTCAGGGCAAGGAGTGGGGAGATGACAGTCCTCAGAGAAGAGCAGAGCACTGGCCCCTGGGGCGGAGAAGAGGTGCAAAACCTTCCCAGTTGAGTGATCCATACTGAGTTATCAAAATATTTATGCAACGAGCACAGCTTCACGTAATGGTCTATTCCAGTGCCCGGTTAAAACCAACCAACCAACCAACCAACCAACCAACCAACAAAACTAAAACAAAAAAAATACAAGAAAACCCAGATTCCGTTGATTTTCATTCATTTTGGGTGAGGGCTCATGCTTCTAAAGCATATGTGACTTGTGAAAAAAAAAAGCATGCAGCATGATTGATTTGAATTGACAGGCAGATGGTCAAGGTCTTTGGGAGGATAATATTTCCTTCTCTGAAGGGCTGTGTGCCACCTTCACTTATGTGGCATATAGCTTTGATTTGTGCATAATTTAAATGAAATGTGCCATATATCTCACTGCAAGGATGTGAAATCAGCTTTTGACTGTCAGTGACTGTATGCACTTTGGCATCTTTTCACTCCGGGGACAGAGCTGTGTATATGCTGGGTAGGTTGTAGAAAGGTGAGGTACAGAGGAAATAAAAATGAATTGCAAAGTACTGAAACTGGGTGTTTTTCACAGGTTGTTCTAAAGTTTATATGATTCTCACCTAAATAATCCATAGCTCTTCAGTTCAAAAAACAAACAGCAATTTT